ATGTGGAAGCATTCTGGGGTAGAGTAAAATCTAAATTGTTAAAATCATTACCCCCTGCGACCGGGGGTAGGGCGAGGCCACCATAATTAATCGAAGTTATACATAGAAATATATAGGGAAAAATCTTTAAAAATCTTCTTCTCAAGAATCAGTGGGCCAGAAAAGCTGAAACTTAGGTGGAAGCATCCTGGTGTAGTGTAAAATCTAAATTGTTAAAATCATGACCCCCCCCCCCCCCAGGTGTAGAGCGGGGCCACAATAGGGAATCCATGTTTTACCTAGAAATATACAGGAAAAATCTTCTTCTCAAGAACTAGTGGGCTAGGAAAGCTGAAACTTAGGTGGAAGCATCATGGGGTAGTGTAGATTCTAAATTATTAAAATCAAGACGGGGCGGACCACAATAGATATAAGAAAAGGGGAAATATGGTAAAGAACTGCATCCTCAAAGTTACTCAGGTGAGCCGCTTGTTGGAACCAAGACCCCCGACCTTTGATGCTCCCAACCTAACATCATGCATGTATTTGAATAACCCTTGAACCGAATCAAGGTGAACTGCCGAGTAGATGCTGCTATATATGATAAAGGCATCTGTCCATGTTTCAATGCAATCAATTTTTACAGATGGTTTGGTAGTTTCCCTTGTAACAAGTTCCCCCCTTTTATTAATATAGACAGACTTTTTCTGAGGGAACAGCATTAGTATTGTGAAGCAGCAAAGCAAGATCTACATAAGCTGAACTTCTTAATTTTTGATTTCATATTTTGTGACACATTCACTGCCAACTGATGAGTAATACTTGGCAGCATTAGAGGTGTACCTTGTGAATCACCAATGGCGTTTTGATCAGACTGTGAAGTACAGGGGGGTGATGTCACCGACTGTACACAGGCAACTGTCGTTTGGAACTTTGAGAAGCAACTTTCTCGCTAACTTCATTGATTTGCTCGATGACTGGAACCACAGGCTTTTGTTCAATCTCTGCTGGCGCGTCGTAGGGTCCTTTACTGGCTTTAGATCTTGTCCTGGTAATCCGAGATTCCTTTGACTCTAAACCCCGCTTTATTTTATGACTTGTGCGGGGGAGAGTCAGAGTGGAGGCCATATTGAAAAGTGGAAATTCGGCGACACCAGCCGGTGTCGCAACTCTGCCTACCTTTTACAACTTTATTAACTACTTGTTAATCGTCATTAAAAGGATGCTTTCGCCGTTTAAACGGCCCTATCACCGACAAATGAAGCATAACTTGAATTAAGTCTCGCCATTGACTTCCTTGCGCATGACGTCAGCACACAAATACACAAAATTTCATTCAGTTTGAAAGTAACACGTGCTCAAAAAACGTGTGGGCCTTACGGAAAAATATGAAATTGATGTGAAAAAACACATAAAACAACATAATGATGCTTTATTTATTTATTGACAAGGAAAGCAACTGTCAAAAATGACTTCAATGCTAATATGAGGTTTAAAAACCGTATTTACACCACACATGGTATTTTCACGTGATAGTTTGTTTGTGTATTTGTGTGTGACGTCATGCGCAAAGCAGTCGAATGGCAAGGAGGCGACTTAATTCAAGTGATACTTCATATGTTGGTGATAAGGCCGTTTAAACGGCGAAAGTATCCTTTTAATGACGATTAACAAGTAGGAGAATAATTATTTTACTGATTTCTCGCGTCTCGGGAGCTAGCTCCGCGAAATAAAGTTGTAAAAGATAGGCAGAGTTGCGACACCGGCTGGTGTCACCGAATTTCCACTTTTCAATATGGCCTCCACTCTGACTCTCTCCCGCACAAGTCATAATATAAAAGCGGGGGTTAGAGTCAGAGGAATCTCGGATTATTGTCCTAGTTGCTTGCCATCGCAATGGCGTGTCCTTCGCCCTCTTCGCTTTGACTCGTGGCATTGTGATATTACAAACAAAATAACAATAGCAAATATTACAATTTAAAATAACACAAAAATTTTCATTTATTTTTTCAAGTATGAAAGCCTTCAAGTATGAAAGCCGCTTTCATTCGAATTTTCTTACAGATTTCAATCCCACGAAAATCAAGTCTTAAATACAGCTTAACTTAACCAACGATGCAAATAAACATCACCAATGTGTATAAAATTATTGTTTGAATAAAAGAAATAGGACTGTTTTTATTTTTTAAATTATTTGAGAGCTAAAAATGTCTGCTACCTTTCTGTTTGAAGTGCATGTAAAAAAGGATGAGTATACCAAACCCGACTGTGTACGCCGATCTCGAGCAAAATATTTCCTCATAAGATAAAAGCATCTATATTATATTTATATAGATGCTGTTATCATTGAGTCAAATGGCACTTGATCCCACCTCCGATGTTTTGCAGGTCTGTGTTTGCTCTGCTCCTATTCTGTATTGATTTATGGACTTTTGATCTTGAATACTGTTCGTTATCTCCATATGTTTCATGCACAGCGTTACATTTTGTTATTTTGATATATCAATGTATACATCTGCCCTGTCCCTTCTTCCATTACAAACAATCACTGTTTATGTTCTTCCTGTCTTTCCATTTTCGGGTTTTTCTAATAAGTACTTAAATTCTGTATTCTTCTAACTGAATTGTCTTTATCCAAAAAAGTGACCAGTAAAATATTAGATTTTTATACAGTGAATAGTATTTCATAATCACTATAATTATATCTATATCATTAAGATTACTTTCACTGCTGATGCATAAACCGGTAGGTTTGCATTTCTTTTCTTGTATTTTTGTTAATAATAAAAAAAAATTAAATTTTGTTCTTTTCAGTTTTAATAAGTATATTGTCTGAATGAAATACGTCAGAAAATGTTCATATTATTCCAAAGTTGTAAGCGTATTGCAAATCAAATGTGCTGAGGAAAGTAGCCAAACAGGTTTTTTTACATTAAAAAATAGTTTCAATCGGGAAAAAGGCTAGACAGATTCGAAACAATCATGCACTATTAAATGCATATATATCTATGCACTTTTAACATTTTGCAATAAGTATAAGTATAAACATTTTGATAAGTATAAGAAGTATAAAGAAAATGACTGAGTAAAAAGATTGTGTCAGTTACAGTGTCTTGCTTTTAGTTAATCTTTTATGCAAACATGTACTTTTAAACACAATAAGATTGCACGTGAGATTTAACCACCTGTGTAAGGTCGATTTGTGGTTATTAGTTAGCACCTTAGTCGTGAATGATGGGAAACAAGTGACAGTCGTATTTCTGTAGGCTGCCACTTCCTTCCACTGTTACAAATAAAGTGAAAATTCCAGGTTTCTTTTTTCCTTATTTCTATTTTGTTTGATTAAAATAAAAATAATTTGTTTGAAATAGTCGGACTAAATCCTTTATTAATGCTATTTCAAATGCGAGTTAAATTTTTATCAGAAGAACATGGTTTTTGGTTTGTTTATGTAATTTCTTAACCTTTGTAATTAACCGTGATATTTCTTTGATTTCTAAAAATATTAGAGGTTTCAAAAAATGTCTTAAATAACTTAATTCATCATAAAATATTTCATTGCTTTCTTGAACTGAAGAGGTAAAAACATTTGTCAGAACATCAAATATGCCTGTAGATATGGGACTGGATATTTTTCAATTAATGTCTTTTTTTCCTAAAGCATGTAAAGAATAGTATTACAAATAGATTTATGAGTATTGTGGGCGAAAAAATATTTCCCTGGAAAAATTTTAATGATGTCTTGCTTTGTAAACAAATTACATACAACATTGTAATTTTCTGGTCATTGAGTCCTTCAATTTTGAAAAGAAGGCGGAAAATGAAAACGTCATCCTTGAATAAAAAATATTCCATTTCAAAAGATTTAGAGAGATCTGTGACTTTATTCGATTTTCGTAAATATTCGATGATTACTTGATTTTTTTTAAAGAAAATATCTATTGAATTAAATTGTCGCTCTTATATAAAGTTTTACACTAAGGATTTCCAACCCTTATAGGATTAAATTCTCTATCCTTAGATTTCCATCAAATACATAATTGATATTAGATCAATGCATTTTATAGTTTAAAAGGATTAATATTTACCGCCAGAAAATTTGAAAATATAGTTAACTAAACAGTTGTTAATTAATAAAGATTATTGCATTGAACATGTTGAGGCTTTTGGAGACAAGCGATATTCTAAAAAAAAAAATCAAATACTTTTAGTAAGAAAATCACTGCATGCTGTGGTGGAAAGATGCACTGAAACAGAATGGTGATTGAAAACGATCTCTTTTTTTACCAGACAAGGTCTCTTAAATTGATTGTTCTAATTTATTAAAAAAAACGACGGAGATAACTCTTCCCAAAATTCAAGGTCAGAAATTAGGAGACATCCCACCCAAGCAAGCTAATAATAATAAATCGGAATTGTGTCTATATTAAAAAGGAGAATCAAAGGCCTAAACACTTGTTCTGTATTCAATTTCATTGAATCTGTTGCTATTAGGCCTAAAATACCATAACAGGGATTAAAGTATTATATTTTTATAAATAAATATTCTAAAATTCTTTATACAGTCCCCTCCGTTGCCGTTGATATTCTAGTGATGGAAAAAGAAGAGTCTTGATAAATATTCACTGCAACCCGCCATGTATTTCTTATGGTAAGAATTTATATCATAAATGTACATGTATCTTAGGAAAGAAGTATTTAGATTCAGTCATCTGTAGTTTTTATTATCTTCTCTTTTTTTCTTGTACGTTGTTTCCATTTCAATATATTCTGCAAGGAAATAAAGACACCACAAACCAACCGCAGAGAAATATACATTGATTTACTAGAGATGTTAACTCCTCCTGCACTCAGTTCACCACACTATTGACGATTACATAACCATGTTAAACGCGCACCTGTCGAATTTAAAATTGATTGGTGTCTGGAATTTTAATTTTACATAAACGTTGACCCCTTTGCCTTAAACATGACAGTGATTTCTTATTACTTAACACACGCCTATGTATATATAAACAAATGTGAAACACAGAACCACAAAATGATAAGTCCGTTGATAAAAATGATCCTTTTTAAAGTAATATTAATGTTATGTTTTCAAATCAAAGAAATTTTCAGTTGTCAAGCGAAAGTATCTCACAGGCAAGAACTATATTGCAGTTCCAGTTATGGTATGTTTGAGTGATACATATATTGCATAAAAGAAGTGGTGTAAAGAAACTGTTTAAGAAAATTTTCATTTACCGTTTGTCTGCTTCTGTTAGTTTTTCAGGTTCAAGCAGAAGGGATTGACAATCAGGGTGACGATTTATTTGAGCGGCATTACAGAGTGTCGGTTATAGATTCTTACAAGGTAAAATAAAATATGATTGAAATTTTTTAACCATAACTACAATTATTCCCCTAAATTGATGTGGAGAAAGTCAAAGCAAAATTAATTGATTTCTTTTGCATTTTATATATACAATTGAGAGGTGTATTTAAAGAAAATTTTTCACTTTCTTAGTGTAATTTAAATAGAAGAAATTTGACATTTTGTAAATAAAAGTCTATACCATCCTTAACTTCATATAAAAAAAAACTTTAACCACAGGAGAAAAAAAAAACCTTGAGCATGATCGCTGGTACATGTACATGTACTAGCTTTTAATGTAGAATAATAAATGACTAGTATCACCATTATTTTTCTTGTCAATTACAAGTGTTGAAGTCTTTTTTGTATCTATCAGGGTAGAATAGGCACAGATTATGAAGGAACCATAACTGGGAATGGATATTTTATGTCATGTGGTCCACAAATATTGGAGAAAGGCTCTAAATATTTAATATATGGTACATATTTTCCTTTCATATTATGGTACATATTTTCCTTTCATATTGGAATCACAATGTATATATATTTTTTTTTCAGAGTGTTGAGGGATTAATGATAAATTCTGGTCATATTTCAGCTTACAATTTTGATGGAGGTATACGAATAAGAGAATTTTACAAAATGGCGGATATAAAAAAGACGGATATAGATTTGTTCCGGAAATATGACTGCTTTTGTCAGGTAAAGCACAAACATTTTTAAAGATTTGATTAAAACAAAAATTACGATAGAAAAAAATGTATTTCTACTGTAAAATAGTTAATTCCCTTTTGATTTGCTTTCTTTCAAGAATACTTCTTTGTCCTGCGAAATGCAAATGTTCTATCAAAACTTTGTCGATTGTTAACGCCATATTTATTGCTAGTTAAATTTGTTATATTCCATTTTTGTGTATAGATTTATTAGATATATAAAATGGATGCTTCTTCCTCATATTTTTTTTTTGAAGATGGTGCCCACAGAATTTATCAGAATCTGTTAATAAGAAAACATCTTTTTCATCAAATTAGATAAATTTGAAGGGTTTTATATACATGTACTTTTCTCCCTTTTCAGATCGTAACGAAAAAGAATGGTGTGATTATGAGGCATCTTCGCAATGCTAACACATGTTCTTCACCTATACCGAGTGGCACGAAATGCTCCTACAGAAAAAGTTACTGCAGTAGAAATAAGCAAGGGACGTGCCAGTGGGCATTGCTTAATCCGTGTGGGCCGTGAAACATGTACCACATGAACTTGTATCAAGTTAAAGATCATTGTTATTGTTTTATTTTATTTTCTTTGATAAATAAATTATTTTTGCAACATATGTTTTGCTGAGTATTTTATGTTACCCCAGGTACTTCTATAGTGGTTTTTATGTGACGAATAGATATCCCTGTTGTCACAGCTGTCACTGTAGATTAACATGTATTTCTTAATGAAGACAAGAATTTGATGTACGTACATATATTTTGCAATTACATCAAATTTTTCTTATCTCGGAATATAGCATAGTATAAAACTACAAATAATTACAAGAAAATTATCACTATTTTACATGTAAAATCTGCCAACGCTTTGTAATGTTTCTTACAATATATCTCTGCTATTGTTTTGTTTTAATTGTCATAATTTGAAGCAATATCAATCCAATTACACTTTAACCTGGAATTATAAGAGGTGGTGTTTGTTGAAGAGAAATAAGTAGAGTTTACGTTTTCTTTCTTTTCATCCAACTATTAACTATTAAGGGACATGGAAAATTAAATTTCTTGACCACTATTAACGTATACTACGATCAATAAACATGCATGGCAATTTTTATTTTGGTACAGGGGTGTTCACATTTCTTTGGGTTCTCTGGTTGCCTATTACTTGTCCTAATGATTACCTATCGCCAATATTAAGGAACGTATTTATTGAATTCTTTCAAATAAAAAAAACTAAGATAAAGAAAATTTCCATTCCATATGACACTTTAGATGTTGCATTTAGTTGTGTTCATTTCCATTCCTTGTCTATTTCTGATTTTCTCCCATTAAGGCGGCTTGGTGGATTTTTCAGCGATTCCATAACTTCAGGGTCATTTGGATCACTAGATATTGTAAACAAAAAATATAAATAATCTATAAATCTCTAAAATAGAATCTCATTTATATATACAAAATCCTATAAAGGATATATTTTATCTTATTTCCGTTTTTTTTTTTTTTTGTTAAACAGGATATTATGCAAGTTGACTCACCACAAAACAAGATCATATTTATTTTTGTGGCCAAATCTGTAATTACTTTTGTTTCCATTTGGCCATCGCACCTGAAAGTAATAGTGATTATGCTATGAGCAGAGATTAAAAGAAACCATACAACGGAATTATGATCTACTAATTACATGTCGATACTTACATGCACAACTCCATTGTGTTTTACTCGATAGACAGTCCCAATGCTCTCCTCGCTGCCGTTTTGGTCACCCCATTGCCAATCTGGTCCTAAAAATTTAAAACTAATTTGTAAATTCCTTTTTCAAATTATCTATTCTTTCGAGAATAATTCACCCTTATATATGGAGACGCCACCACTTGCCCGTAGAAAACTGCAAATTTTGTCCTATATTTGGCACTAAAGGCCTTTGAGCAGGCAGGGTTTTTTTCAAGCCAGCACCTACTGCAACATGGGAACTCGGTTTATACGGTTTCATCCGAAGGACCGGTCTCCACGTCACACAATGGGATTTTAAATGTAAATCTTTACTTCTCGACTAGAGCAGACGCTCTAACCATTGCGCCAAGTGAGTGATTTATTGTAAATAGAAACAATCAAAATTTTCAGTTTCTCGAGGCAGAATAAATGGGACAAACGAAAACTTTTAAATGAGAATTTAATTTTAAGTTAAAAGTCTACAGCCTTACCAAAAAGGACGTAGTTGGAATATATTTACCTTTTTTCACGAGACATCCAACTGCAACTTTTCCCTTTGATGTGGTCCTTGGTTCATCACAAACGGTTAGATCATATGCTTCAAATAATCCATTATATCCATATCGGTAATTCAAGACCCTGCCATTGTCCCAATGAACATTTATCCATCCAACTAAGACAATGTTAACGAATAGTTTTATTTTTCATCCATGACCAACTTCACTACGATTCGTTGAGAAACATATATTTAAAAGTGCTTTGACACAGATTTGAAGTTAATATTTTCTTAAATTTTCTGCATATAACATACATGCATGTATCATAACGTATATATTGCAATAGCATTTCACACTAAATATAATAAAAAATCTCACTTCATCTCGAAGTTATTGAAAATTTAGAGTTTCAGGACGGGTTTGATTGACACTTCCTGCAATTTCACAAACTTTAATTTTATTCTTAAGAAAAGTGCAATTTTGTTGTGTTTGAATGAAAAATATTATATATATAATCAAGAAATTCAGTGTAGAAATGTTAACTTCTAATCTGTGTCTAAGCACCTTTAAAACATTGTTATGTTCAGAATGATATGATACGCACTTTAGGACAATAGATTGGTTAATTAATTGATTGTTTTTGGTGTACGACGTCCCATTTGACAATTTTTAAATTCATATATTGAGAGGACACCATTTGCCGGTGAAGGGCATTAAATTAATCAAATTCAGACCTTAACTCGGCTCTCAGGGCAAATCGGATGTTTGTGCCCACGCCTGCTGTGACCAGAGACCTCTGGTTTTTAGGTCTGATTAAGGGAATGCACAACTTATAATTTTAAAGGCCGAGGTTTTCAACCGTACGGTTTTCCTCAGGTAAGTTTGGTGTGGGGTGGAGCTTAATCAAGCGGCTGAGAAGCCCCGAGGGAACGACACTGGCTTGTGTATACTACCTATAAACACAGGATGTTACCTGAGCCCCTAAGTGTATTACCTGTATGCGTTTTCCTACGACTTTGTAAACCGAGGCCGTTTTTTTTTCATGTTAGCTCATGAATTGAAATGCGAAATAAAGCATTTTTGTTCCAGACAGAATCCTTCTCAATTTCTTTCTTTTAAAATAATTGATATTTTTAATAATTCGACATTTTTTACATACAGTGCGTTTCTTAATGAAGTGTTATAATGAAAATACATTTAGCGTTGTAATCTGGCGACAAAAAGGGAAGTAATTCAAATTACACGTCGACTACGCAAAACGAAAGAAGAAAGTGAATCATAAAACAGTCTCTCGGTAAATAACAATGAAACTTAGAAACGATGTTTTGAGAATAAAATGTTGAAGTAGAAATATTATTGTCTAAGTAAATATCTTTTTAAGATTTTTCCATAACACATGGTCGGTAAAAATGGCCAGGGCTTCGGACCGGGGTTGATTCCCCGAGAGCTATGAAACGGGAAAAGAATTATCTGCATCGTTTTTTTCTTTCAGGATTCATTATTAATTTCAAACATTAAATACAAAGCAAAATGTTATATTTCGAGTAATTTCTCTTCTAAAACTTATTAATATACCGTAACTTCGTCACCATGTCTCGAGGAAAAGCGACACGTACAGGTTTGTCTTGCTTATAAATATAAATTCGCTTGACTCATGAACAATGTTACAATGTTTTCGTACTTGTTTTAAAAAATAATTTTATTTAATTCCATGATACTAGCTTCAAACGCAGGTCGGTTTATTTTGTTAATTAATGGAGGAATAAACGTACGTTAACTCATTTTTTGACACGGAAATTAAAATTATCGATTGTAATCGTGATATGAAATCCTCCCTTTTAAATTTAAATTTATAATATTTATTATATAGCCATGATTTTCTTGTCATTTATTTAATAATTTGATAGATTGATTATATTTATGGCATATTCTTATGAATTAAAAAAGAAAAGAACGATTTGATGGCTTCTTTATCACGCTGGCATACAGTGCGGTAGGCATCAAAAGCCTGAAAGTTAATTCCATGGTCGGTACGATCTCCAGACAAGGTACACAAGATATACACAACAGCAGCAAACTGAATGTCAATCAAATCAAAGTATCCAATCCCAGGCTTAATGTCAGATGATTGACAGAGGTTCTAATATCAGGTAAATTTGAAGGAGGTGCTTATTTCCTCCCCCTTTAAGAGCCGAACGTTTGGTGAAGAACTATTTGCATGACATATATGGAGATAAAAAACAGTATTCAGGCACAAAAGACCATACAACAATATTTACATTAGCTGTGTTTTTCTACTACGCCAAATGTGAAATTGATTTGAAAACAATTTTCGTGCACGAGGGGTGATCAAAAAGTTCGTGAACTAATTGAATAACTTCCATAAAAGAAACAATATTTGGTTTCAATGTTGATTATAGTTTAAATTAATCTTCTCCGATTTTAATGCACATCAACAACCGTTCTGCGCATGTGCAAATCACGTGATATTGGCGGTTACGTGACCCCGTCCCTTGCGTTTTGTCACAAAAGTTGAAAGAGTTTTCTGAGATTTATATTTCTTTCCATGTGAGATAAATTTTATGACAAGAACAGTTCATTTGTCAGAAATGGTCAAATTTTGGCAACAGAATGGGTGGATAAAAAGATCCTTTCCAAAAATAAGCATGGCGACAATGAAAACACAACTCATCTCTCGGGAGAGACCTTTATTCAAGGTGGATAGAGATTGGGTGCCTCCTTTTTATCATATCTAATATGTTTAAATTCTAAAGTAAATGATACCTTAGGCATGTAAAATTATTGTTCAAATATTCAACTATTTTTCAAAGTGTAAATTGGAGGTTTTTGATAGCAAATTGCTTAATTAAAAACACATGTGATATTACGAAATCTATTTCTATATGTATTTATTCGTTTTTAATTATTATTTTCATATCGTTTTGATAAATATAATCTTAAAATTTGATAAACCAAAAGTTCTATTGCGCACCTGGATTGAGTTGCCTGAGTAAAGTTTTATTCTATGATTTCATTGGCTCTTTCATTTGATTGGTTATTTCCTATTTTTTCATCCAATAATACATTTTCATTATAAGTATAAATTTACCGCGCTTTACCTTGTATATCAGAGCAGTAATACGTTTTCCAGAAAGAAGCTATGTTTTAAATCCAGTGTCCATCAAACGCATCTTATGATATGTAATTTGTATATTTGATTATGTGTTTCATTGCCATATAAAGATTTGATTTACGTTATTATTTTGATTGCAAACGTTTTACTTTATTGTACTTTTGCATTCAAAGTTGTAACTGAATTATAATGAGTCTGTAAGGTTTTAATTTGAATTGTTTACAGAAGACATTTTTTTTCATAGAGTTCATTTTTCTTAAACGTATACTGTAAGGTAAATTATCTTATATGTTATTTTCTCAATTTTTGTAATTTTGACTTATTATGTACTTTGTTTATTTTAGATCAATGCCTTTATTCCTGAATAAATTATGAAAACAACATCTGCCTTACTGCTCGGTTACACACAGATCTTTTTAAACCTGCTTTCAGTGGGCAACATGACAAGTATCATTTTTAACCAGTCACCTGCCTTCCTTCACTAAAACAATCAATCCAATCATTAAATGAATTTATAGGAACTGGTCTTATTTCTCTTAATAAACTGTGTCCAAATTATTAAGAGATACTGTAGAGGGATTTCTAAGATATACAATGAATTGTACAGTCATTTGTTGAAAGAGTTCGACTGACACAACCATTTTTCGTGACAAGCGACCTACACAGTGACGTTATTTTCGCATTGAGACGTCACAAACAAGGAGAAAACTTTATGCAGCATATGCTTTTTATAGACCTTGTGTATGGCTATGTGTGTACCGAATTACATTCTAATCTGAATTGTGGTTTTGTAGATATAGAGATACAGTGTAGTTCGCGAACTTTTTGATCACCCCTCGTATATTCACGCGTAGAATTATATACCGACTAACGTGCATTAATGTGACGTCACAATAAAGCTACGAGGCTTTGTAAAAGTATGATATAGGACAGCGAGAAATTAAAAAAAATGCGTATGTTTTGGTGCTTTAACATGTAAAATATAAATAATATATTCTACGGTGCGACCATTGGGGCGATTGCAGTTATTTACTATCAAAAACCTTTACACAGCTATTACTTGCAAGGGCATATCCTCAGTTCATTAAAAAAGAAAATAATAAAAAGAAATCACTTCACAGGCATCGGGATCGAGATTCCGAACTTTTCGGAAGTTTCAAACAACATCGGAAAACCCCGAGCCGTTTAATTAAGTGACGAAAGTATGACGTAAAATAAGAAGTCCTGTTGGCTAAGAACGGAAAGGATAGTTTTGTGGCATAGAAATTGCCTTATATCGTTGTTTGTAATTTTTCTCAAGTAAGTTGTTGCTATGTTTTAGCCATCATGTTGCTATGCACCGCATGGAATTATTGGGAGTTTGATATTTTTTCACACAGTGGGATAAAAATTTCTTGGAACAATGTGCAGATTTCAACCCGAATTTCCTCCGTTCGTACACGTTAGTCTCTTGAGCTCGCTACGCGAGCGGCGCTTCGCGCCACCACGCTGCGCTCGCTATAAGGAATGTTTTGAAGTTTAATGTGCTAGCGCTCTTCATGAAATATGCCTACGTGACAAGTATGTTTGATTCACACACCAATAACTCACACAAACTTAAAAACATTCCTTAAATACACAATTGAAGCAGAGAAAAAAACAGACATCCAAAAGATCAGATTATGGAGTGAGTGCACTACAAACTTGAGCTCAAACGTTTTTAATTGCGCAGAATCTGTAAGCACAATTTTTTTTATCTCTACTTGAGGAAAGCCATTGAAATTAATGGATTTGCCTCCTTTGATACTTTTTTCAGGGAGAGGGGGTATGTTATCCTCAACCAACTGTAGTATTCTTAAAATAAAATAAAACTATTCAAATTCTCTGACTAAATTTGACAAGGTGTGTGTCTAATGTTTTCCGAAATCATTTAGATAAACGGGTAAAATTCTAAATACCCTGTGTACTATGACCAACGACCGTGCCCACTTCATTACTATCTTGATCTCCCCATTCCCAGTCTTTGCCTCTTCTTACTCTTGTTCCAATACAAGGCATTGTGGAATATCGCTCTTTGAATTCTTCTTCATCACTTGCACCGAACTCTGCCTCGTCGTTCGTATATACGCTTTTTTCATTCAGTATTTCACATATTTGATTCTGAATAAAAAAATTACCATACTCTCAAATTAAATATTAATTATTTAAAAATTTAGATTTAAAATTTAAAAAAATTACATGTTTCTCTACATGATTACTTTCAAATACATGTCAAATAATTTAAAGTCGCTCAATATTCAGTTAAAATAAGAAAACTCTTTTCACGAGAACAGAGTAAGCAGATAACGAAATAAAGTTTAAAGATCTAGAAAACAGTCTAATAACATCTTTAACGAACAGAGGAATTGTCACAATGTAGTTTATGTACTCAAAGTATGTAATCAGTTTTTGTAATATGCACTTAACATTTGGAATATTATAAAACCTGGCCTGTCCCTATTTAGCCTGACCACCAAGTTGACTCGGCTTTTATCTTGGCCTCTAATTTGGTTCCCATTCTGACCTCAATTTGATGCAAAATTGACTTACAATGTCATCCTCACTTGAACGTTGATAACCTCTTGTTTGGAACACCGTCCTTCTTACTAGGTTTTCCGATATTGACTCCTCGGGATAATGATTTAACAATTCATTTGCCATTCTCTATAAATTTAAGTATCAAAATATGAAATTTTACATCATACTGTAATTTCTAAGTATCTTAATACTGGTGTTTATGGAACAGAAAGAGAATTATCACGAATATCAAATATTATTTACATTTGATCTTCTTGAAAATCGCAAAGATGGCAAAGAAGATGTTTCTCTCCATTTCTCTTAAGTCTAACTTACATTAATTTAACTCTTTACTTTGGACTTATACTGCATTTTCTTATATTTATTATTTAAAAACTGATTTTCACTTGATTAAAAGACTACTTCTACGTGTATTTCCATATTTCAATTAGCCCGATCATAACAAGGAATACACAGAGACTGTGGCCGCTCAACATATTAAACATACTTTAAATGGCACTTGATCCCTCCTTTAACGATGTTAGAGATCTATATTTACATTTATAAAAAATGTGATATTAATTTAATGGTCCTTTGAGATTAATTACTGTTTGATTCTATTTGTCAGGCAAGAATACTCACACTGTTTAAAGAAAATCTGGCAGTCTGTCGAGCTTCTTCTGGTTGCAATATTCGCCCACCCCTAGACGCAACTGCCAATGCTCCTAAAAGACTCTTTAAGGCAATTTATTTTATCTTGAGAATATATTTTTAATTTCTGAAATAAATGCATATATGGGTTCAATGAACACTTACACAATTCGGAGTTTTGCCAACAGCTATAAAGGTAAATGGGTTCCATCTTCCTCTGTCACTAACTAGACACAAAAGTCTATTGAATGCCTTAAAAATACATATTCATATAATTGAAAACTTTCAATAATACATATTTATTATCGATGTATAATATGAAATATAGCTAAGTCGTATAACAACATCAAAGGCATCAATAAAATATACCTCGCTGTTGTTTGGTGAATTGTACGACTCCAGAGAGCTAGACATATCGGTGGGATGTCCATCAGTTATCACCACAACCCTAGCTCTGATTACAAGAGGATCCAAAGGTATTGTGTGACCTTCAAATATTGTAAATATAAAATATTAATAAAATACTCATTGGCATCATATTGAAATGTGTTTCACTAGCGATAATAGTATTTGATTGTTCGTTTCCTCTCAATGGAAACACAAGACATGCAGCATATCACAGTGATCTAAAGCAATCCAAATAGACTAAGAACTAAGATAAATTTTTGTATACTAGTATTCAACTTCCCAGATATTTGTGAAGCAAAATATGTATATGTATATTCGTTTTTCCCATAAAATTACACCCTGCCTTGAAAGTAACTTTTAGATAGAGACACCTTTATAATTCATAACTGTTTTTTCATACATATGATAGTACACTATATCATATGTACACAGTGCTTTTAAACTCTACATTCGGAATACCTTTTTGTTGTTTCCTCATTTTTATTAAGACTTACCTCCTCCGAACTGAATACACGACAACGACAGTAGTATCCCTGCCTCCATAGGGGATGGTCCCTTACAGTCGATGTTATCTATATATATATTAATATAAATTTTACAGAAATATAATTTCATTAATTATAAAGACATACAAGGACATAAATGAAATGTTTCCACTCAAAATATTATCAACAAAAAACAAATCAAACAAGAAAAAATCAAACAAAATTAAAAAACATATATGCATATCGTATTACTACGAGTATTTACTGAACATTCCAAAATTCATGCAAAATATGATTATTTTATTTTAACGCTCTACTTAAAATTAAATTAAATGCCCCTAAAATGATGTTTGTATTTAACTTATGAATATGGCTGAATACTACTTGCCTAGGCATTTCTTGATGGAATAATAATTGTTGGAATAGTAATGAAGAAATTTTGTTTCCTCTTCAAATCCTATCACGGCGATATTGTCGTCTAAATGTAAATCTTCATACTCTACAAATTAAGGGAAAAGAGTGAAGTATGTACAGTAAAGATAATAGATGCACAAATGGGATGAACACATATCAAATTAAATTTGTTTAATTGCATCAATAAGAAAAAAAATCTGTTACTCATAAATAAAAAAAAATAAACCAAGATCCCTTGTCGCAAAAGGTGTTGGCACTGAAAAGATCCCTCACCTCACTGCTCAATGACCCCGAGTGCCGAGTAAATAAGACGAAATTTGCAGCTCTCCACCTGACCAGCAAGTGATGGCGTCTCAATATGAGTATAAAGTTCTCGAGAGGGATATTTGACAAGATACAATCAATCATTTTCCTGTATATTTTTGTGTAAAACTTGCATAACATGATCCTGCCCTATTTCAGGGGGTCATGATATGTATCTACACTACATGAAAATTATTCTATTACGAACACTCATATCAATAATTAATCGGTTGTCATAATTTGAAGAAACTTCAAACTACACTACATAAGAATGGTTCCGTGCTCTTATTGAATCATTAACAATTTTAAAAAAAATAATGCCTAACAAATAAATGAATCAATTTTACAACGTTTTTATTTCTACAAAATACTGCAGACGTCTTTAATTTCACATGTCTAAACTTTCAGGGTTTATTAGAAAATTACCTTTAACTGTTACTTTAATTTCACACAGAAACGTTTATAAATATTCAGGTGCTATGCCTGTTTTTAGGTAGAAATGAATGAAATGATAATCACGATGATTATTTGAATTTCGCAGAAAATTCTGAAATCTTGAACACAGTGAAATTAAAAACACTGTTATGTAATCCACATCTACAGTATGTACCTCGTTTAAATTGATGTAGATGTTAAATTATCGCATTAGAATCATTAAAATGTGTTTACATGAATTATGCTGAAGATACCTTGCATGATATCAATAAATATCTCCTTCATTTGGCGGAATCCTTCCCCTTTCATACTCTCTGACATATCTAAAATGAACACAGTGCAAATACCTCTTCCATGTTGATATTTTCTGCTGGTGTCTAAATTAAACAAAAAATAAACAAAACCATTTCGAATTTTTTTAAGTTAAATTAAACAAAAATATGATACTATCTCTATTCAAATGTTGTAAATTACAAAGTTATACTTATATAGCGGGTATTTATGTCGATTTTTTTTAACACTTAATCTTTTCTGATAATAATGAAGATAATTGGAGTGAACAAAAGATATATATTTACTTTCTGCCGTTTCCTCTTCAGCTCTTTTCCTCCAGTATTCTTCAGCTACAACATTTTCCATCTTGAAGATCTTAGAAAACTCAGTACAAATTTAATGTAATTTATGAAGTAGTTTTGATTTGATGTAGGATCAAAATTCAATTTAAATTTTGCCTTTCACATGCTTCCTCGTATATTCTAGTGTATATTTCCTTGAAAGAAATGTCTTTCCGGCTGCATGGGTTTGCAAAATTGTAAGCTTTAATATATTTATTATAATCCTTGCTCAATTGCTAAAATGATCTAAATCTTTGTTGTTTTTTCAAAATATTTCATAGAAATATAACTTCTTTAATCTTAATGAGATACATGTGCTTTGCTTTTATTAAACAAAGAGTTCAATACCGGGTATTATGAAAAAATAATAATTCTGGTTTTTGTTATACCGAGGCATGACAAATATTGATTAAAGTACATACCTCTCCCCCCCCCCCTCTCTCTCACTCTCCCTTTCTCTCTCTGTCTGTGTGTGTGAGGGTGTGAGGGTGTGTGTGTGTGTGTGAGGGAGGGTGTGTGTGTGTGTGTGTGTGTGTTTCTAGTGAAAAAAATATCCTACAAGAAAAAAATTATTGATGATGCAATTGGCATTTTCATTTAAGGACTAGCGCTTCTTCCTAATTTATATACCACTAATTCATGATGAATAAATTCTTTGTTATGAAAATAAGTATGCTTATCTCATGACGGGAGCCAATTATTCAATAATTTACCACTTTCAGGCATTCCTACCGTGCTCCTGATCAATGTTGAACGCTCTAAGATTTCTTTGCAATGGACAACTTTAGAACACTTTTTCATTTTTTAAGTATGCATTTTATTAATGCTGAATGAATGTCGAGTCTGCTTGAATTTTTTTTCTTTTTTTTAAATAGTGTGTATATCAAAATACTTAACAGTTTAACTGAGGTGAGAAGTTTGCTGTGAAAAGATGGACGGAGAATATAAGGTTTAAATTAGTATTACGTCTGTTTGTTGTTGTTGTTTCTGTTTTTTTTTTTTCATTTTTACAAGCTTTTAAAACGTACGTATACCAATATCAATTAATTTACAAAATGGTTCTATAAAAAAGTATCTATTGGTGGTGAAAATAGATTTTCTAACAAGGCAATTGGAAATATAATAAAACACTTGACACTGGTATAAACAATTATTTTAGTAAATTTGTTTCATATGTTGTCATGTACACAATACTGGAGACCTAACCATACTGCAGTACACATGTTTTTCAAGCCTTGTTTGGTTAAAAAATAAAATACAAACTAAAATCAAAAACTTCGATCAATCATAAATAAAATCTTAGAACTTTACGAATATGAGTTGGCACTGATAGTCAAATCTACAACTTTGTATTTTGACTTAGTAAGTGTTAAAAATTATTAACTTGCCACTCTGTCAGAGTAAACCTCCCAATGCTGCTATTGTAAAAAAAAAAAGAAATAATATTGATAAAACTTAGAAAGAACACGGCGGGTGTTTTTGTTTAAAGGACACTTTGAGCTTGAATACTGTTCGTTATTTCCATAAATTTCATGTAACAAAAAAGGTCGCCAGCATAGCGTAGTGGTTAGAGCTTCTGTTCTAGAGTCGCTAGGTAAGGAGTTAATCCTAGCGTCCTGATTTCGAATCCCACTTTGGGACTTGGAGAACGGTTCTTGGATGAGACAGGATAAATCGAGGTCCCGTCTCGCAGTAGGTGCTGGCACGAAAAAGGTTCCCTCCCTACTCAATGACCATGAGTTACGAACATACCATTAGGACAAAATGATCAGCTCTTCACCAACAAGTGATGGCATCTCCATATTGAGTGAAAAATTTTCAAGAGTGACGTTAAACAATATACACAATCAATCAATCAATGTAAAAAAAAAGGGCGATCGCTTTTTGGTCGGGGGATCCGGATTCGTTTTTCATATCATCGCCATCCGCTTGACATCAGAAGTAAATTTGACTTCGCATCTTTCGGATGAGACGTTAAAACACCGACTTCCCGTGTCCCGGTAAGCGTTTGCACGCTAAAGACCTCTCACTGCTAAATGGTCATTTTAATGCCAAGTAAAGGTCCTCATTTTACACCCTTCTTCAATATATTATAAATTATGAATATTCAAAATAATATTTTTCAATCAAATTGGGAATTTTACAATTTAAATTAAAAGATTATAGAATACAGTCTTGAATAAGAATTATACAATGCAAATGAAGAATTATAGAGCACAAATTGATCAGATCGAGATAGCAGCGTTTGACATGCATAGATATCGAAGATGGATTAAGGGTGGGGAAATTAATTTCCAAGAAATACTTCGACAAATTTTGGTCCTCCACTTTTATTTTTCAAGAGCATTACAAGTTATTATGATGAATCTATGAAAAAGTTTATGTTAGCATTATGATTTATACAGATTTGTTTACGACTTGGATGTTACAATATGTTTTAATATACGTCCGGGTAATGTTTTTGTTGAATTATTTTTAGATTATATTTGCAGCTAATTTTTAATTCTCGACTTACGACATTTAATCAATAAATGGCCATTTTCACTTTTAATTTATGTTTGGTTGATTTATGGAAATCAAACAGAAATTAGAGGAAAAGTATTTGAAAAAAAAGTATTTTCTCAAGGAGTTTTTTTTATTTTTAAAGTTTAATAAAGGGTTTTTATAAATTACAAAAAATATTTTTTAAATTATCAGTTTTTGATTCTATGTATAGATTATACCAAAAATGGATGAATCTTGCTAAAATCAATGCCTTCTTTTTTTTACATGTGCTAAAGTACAACCGATTGGCATGTATGTAAAATTACCACTCCATTTGTAAATGGGTACAAGTGAATAAGGTTTAAACTCGAATTCGAATTAAATGTACATGACAAGTGCAAATTCAATTAAATTATTTAATGATCATTATTCCAAATAATAAATCAATCAATACAATAAAACATCATTAAAAATATTTTTAAGAAATAATCATAAGCACATGTACGAGTATAAATAATGAGACTTCAAAATAACTTAAAGACTGTTTTCAAGATAAAAAATGTCATTCCTGCATAGTTGGTGAATGCAATGTCTCACACATTTTGTTCCAAAATAGCATGTCTTCCAATTCGCTGTCAGGATATTCTAAGTACGTCTGGGTTTCAAACAAATCAATTATTTTCAATGGTATATTCTTCATCACATTCTTTTTAAGGACGATAAGAAAAATAATGTTATCTCCTCCTCTGGAATATATGGATTCCATTCTTGCCATGTTTAGTTCGTACATACACCAGTAGGACTTAATGAAGTTGGGAGTTAGCAAACACACTGTTCTTCTACTGTGATGTATTGCATTAGCGATATTATCGGCAATGTTTGCACCTGGTACAAAGTCTCTACTATGCAAACATAGTTTTAATTTATTTTGTTCTTCAAGAAAATGTAATTTTGAAAATATAAAATGTCCGTCCTCTTCAGCATACGACACGAAGGCATCGTACCTATAAATTTGGTTGTTCGGCTCCATAGATGGTCGGACGCCGTATGAACGTCTTTTTGCAATATAGTATAAATACCGCAATCTCCAGCGGTATCGATTAAGTATTGCTGTTCCAACAAAAGCCATCACAAAAAACAATGTAATTGTCAAAATAACAATGAGCGTGAGATATGTCTCACACTTAAATTGCAAAACTTTCACAATATTTGACAAACCTTCTAAAGATACAACTGTTGAGTTAATAAGAACACATTTATATTTAGATAATTGGGGAAAAATTGGTTTTACCTTTAACATCCATTTTAAAAAATCCATATGTTCACATGTGCAACGAATTGCATTGTTAAGTAAATTAAACTGTACACGGTTCTGAGCAAGGTTACTCAAAGTGTGTCTTATGTTCATGTCAAGGGTGGATATTTGATTGTTTGACAAATCGACCTTTGTTAAATCATGCATGTGAGATATTTTAACATCAAAGGTTGCTAGAGAATTATCATTGAGGAACAATATTGTCAAATTATTCATGTTTTTAAATATCTTTTTTGGCAAACTTCTCAGTTTGTTATTGGACAAATCTAAAGACTCCAGACTTATCAACATTTCAAAGATGTTTCCATTGTAATCGTTTTCTATTGAAGAACTCAACAAATTTTGTGAAAGGTTTAAATGCTTGAGGCCGGAAAACTCACTAAAGAACACCGTAGATATATCAGTACAAAGGTTATTTGATAAATCAATATATTCCACGCTTTTTAAGCCTTGAATTGGACCAATTAATTTATAAAAAATATTGTTCTGAGCATAAATATGAGTCAGTGTTTCATTCTCAGATAAAAAATGATATTTGTTTAACTCCATTTTGTACATATTATCATGAAGATATATTTTTTCCACATTTGGTGGTAAGTATATTATAATATCACTTCTCTTTTTCCTTTTCGATAAAATGTCTCTAGATAGAGGATTTATAAGGTCACGATCAAACATGTAAGACCGACGGTTATTTACATGTTCCATTCTAGAGTCGTTACAAACATAATAGAATGAGGTTTTTTTTGTGAAACGAACTTTGAAAACTTGCATTAAGATATTTCAAAGATTTAAGGCGATTTAATTGAAACAGATAAATCCCGAATGATAGATAATTGTCCTCTACATTTATTTCTTCCAGCCACCTTGGCATATTACTTAAAACATCTTTTTCAAAGTAAGTAATTCTATTCGACGCTATGGACATTTTTTTCAAGAGGGTATTATTGAGATGCTTAATGTACTCAAAGCGAAAAACAGTTGTTATTCCGTATGTGCATTGAACCTTTTCCAAAAACAGATTTTTTAATTGAGATTTTCTTAAATCAAATGATATGTTGCTCAAAACAGATAAAGTAAGTTCCTGGTTGTACGATAGATCTAAATGTTCAAGTTGAAGACTTTTCTCAAATGCTCCTAAATCAATATGTCTTAGATTGCAGTGTGACAGAACAAGATAACGAAGGTTTTTATGTTTTTGAAATGCATATCTCTTGACTCCTTTT